GCGATCTAAAGACAAGATGAACAGGTAGACAGACGAGTTTAGATCGCTTCCGCAAATGACTGTGTTTAAGTTCGTCTATTCAAAAGTCAACTATTACAGTAATGTTTCTAATAACTTTCACACTATATATATTGTCCATTAGCTGACAAAAAAAATTAGTAATAAATGAATATTTTCGGCCGTAAGTCGGTGAAGCAAAATTTGCTATTATAAGAATGCCGACGAAATAGCAAGATAAATAAATAACAGGACGTATAAACATCAATTAATATAAGAACGTGTTTAAAATACCCTGAAATGAAATTAACCGCGGTCCACTGAATGGTTATAATGAAAAGCATTGAAAGAAATAAAATGAAGAGATTAGCAGCGAGGCTTAATTGAGCTTAAAATCATTATTGTGTTCGTGAAATGAAAATAAAAACGAAACTGGCAGAGAAAGAATACTAGAGAAAAAAATTAGAAATTTAAAGAGCGTTGAAATTGTTAAGTGCAACTTGAAATATGCTACGATTGTTAGCCATTAAATGAATAGCTTAAAAACTTTCGTTATGCAAGTTTCTTGTTTGGTTTGGTAATAAAACGAAAAAAAAACTTAAATATTTACTTTATTTTATATTAGAATTCAACCTAATTTTTAATTTATTAATGCTTATGATAAAAAATAATATTATTACGTATTTTTACCATTTCTATTTTTGTTAAGTAAATAATTTTTAATGTATATATTTACTACCAGGTACTATCAGATAATTATTTATTCGTTTATTTGTTTGTGTCTTTGTGATTGTTTAATGTTCATTTCATTATAGGCAATATCCGATTTAGAAATTTTCTTGGAATAGTAAAAACAAAGTTTAAGTTTATAATGAAATAATGAAATAATATAGGGCAACCTGTCAACAAAATATGGATAAATATTGAACAAAAAAAAAATAAATAAAAAATAAAATAAAAAAAAAAAAAATCTACCCGTAGTAACAACAAGAAATCGTACTAATGAAATGAAAATGGACACCAAGAGTTTTGTGTAAACATAACGGAACGTTAAAGTCTATATATATATATATATATATAAAAAAAATGATAAATAAATATATAAATAAATGTGAAGAGGTAATAAAGCGCACACGAACGCAAATATATAAATAAATGTATATTTGTAAAGCCAACTGCAAGTATATAATATTCACTATACAGTTTTCAATCTAATGGATATTCGATGTAATAGAGAAGAAAATACTCGGTAGCAAAAATAATGAAATAATCAGAGTATGACCCCTAAATTGTATGTATACACAATTATATATATATACATTTTAGTTTTACTGCTTTTTATATCTCGAATGCAACTACTGACTGTATGAATTCTGTTAGTATTAGTAACCCAGTTACCTGCCCAAAATGTGTGTCATAGGAAATTTAAAAAAAGGAAAAATATATATTCAGGTTTTATGGAAAATAATTTTTTATTTTGTTTGAGACTTACCTGTTTGGGTAAAAAAATTTAAAAAAAAAAAAAAAAAAAAAACGAAATGAAATGAAAAACATCAAAAATCATATCTAAATATTCAAGCATACATTTTAGGGCAAATAAAAATATAGTGAGTAAAATCGACTTTTCGTTCATAACCGAAAAAAAAAAAAAAAAAATATATATAATAAATATATATATACATGTATATATACAAAATTATATAGATGTATATGGTGCATAGTTTTTGCGGTTTTCCATTATTAGCATAAGAAGGAAGGGAAAAAAACTTGCAAATGCAGATAAATTCGATTAAATCAAATTGGCTAAAAAGTTAAGTGTAAAGATTGTTATTATGCATGCAAGTCTATGGAGAATTTCAGAAATCACCGATTATGCAATAAAAATTACAAATTGGAAATAAACATGACCTCTACGTTTAACCGCAATAGTTAAATGGAAAATTGTATTTTGAATACTCTAAAGACCTTGCTAAGTTAAATTCGAGAAAAACTTATGATTTCAACGAAACTTGGTGACTAATTAACAACTAAAGCTATTGTTGATAATCAGCAGCATTGACTTTATCAAAAATTACAAAAAACAAAACACATCTTCTGACAACTTAAAGCTTTTAGGTTTAAAAATTATTTTTATCATTGCCATTAACACGTATTGGCCGAACTCGGATTAAGGTCATCTTATATATAAATGCTTATTATTTATGCACGCAACTGATGGTGACGTTTTCATATTAAAATATTCATTCATGTATATACATATATATATATATATATATATATATATATATATGAAAAGCGTTGCCTTCACTTAACGTTAGGTTTATAAATTAATTTTGATGACCATATTAGAAGAAATGGAAACTATTTTTACCCGGTTGGCTTTGACGAAAGCTACGACTATTTCAAGTTATTTAAGAAATATTTTAAATGTTATAACACATCTCAGAACTGCATTCTTTCTAACCGATTTCAATATATTTGGCACGGACAAGTACGTGTGGATTGCCAACTAATGTTGATTGTGGTTGAAAAGTTGAATTTTCTAGTTATACAAATGCAGTTCTAAATCCTTCTTTCTAACAACTAATAAAAAATTGCTCGTTTTTCAATGTTTGGTTGTACGGAAAATTACGGATTGCTTTCAAAAGACTTTCGAAGCAAGAAGGAACAAAAGACCAACTTTCCAACTTTGTAGGGGCGTTCACGTTCTAAGCGTTTGTTGTAATTTAATTTGTATTTCGTTTTGGTTTTAGTCTTATTTGCTTGAAAACAATAAATTGCGAACCAACATATATAGAGCTCTAGTGAAGTCGCAAACATTTCTTTGCATGTACAATACAAATGCATAGCATTCTAGTAACGAAAATGAAAATTCTAGAAATATTTTTGAGGGCTGCTTTCTCAGTATCATAAAGTGCTCTCTGTTTTGCTGCATCCTTCAAAAGCCAAATTGTACCTTTTGCATATTATGTATATAAAGGAGATGTTGGCAATAATTGTTTATAGTTCTACAGTTGAATTTACAATCAATATCAAAATCTACATCACAAAATTTTCAGTTTCTTAACGGAAGCAGCGACTCGCTTCAAATCGTTTCTGCCCTCGTATCTTCTTAGCGGTCGGTCATCTCAATAAAGTTGAACTAATCTATTTTCATGTGAAAATGCTTTTAAGTGAACACAAACACTATCTACGAGGATCTGTTAGCGTATAAGAGAAATTACTTAAGAGATATCTGTTATTTAAGGCATTAGGCTGCTACTTACCAATTCTTTTGGAGCGCTTGGGCGGAAATCCAAAATTTCGGAGAAAAAATTTCTTTCAGGTAATGAACTGTTTTCCTCATATTCATAGCGTCCATTAAGCCAGAGGTTGACAAACTTTTCAAAATTTACCAACACCCTTATCGACCTCCTTTATAACTGTCGTTAAAAGAAAGAAAAAAAAGAACTAAAGTTATTCATAAATGATTTATTTATTTGATTGCTACAAAGTCACAAATATTTGGTACGAAATTTATTAGTTTCAATCTTAAATAGCGTGAAAATTACTAGAATAGAATTAATATGACTGAAGCCAGATTCTAGCATATATGAGCTTAGGAAGACAATTAAAAAGGAAAATGCCGCACAGTACAGTACTTTGAATATTTTTTTCCGCAATATTAGTTCCAAATTTGCTTATAATTTAATTATTATTAAAAAAGAAAAAAAAAATTCAATTAATTTCAACAGGTCAACAAACAATTCAATAACTTCGCCTGGGAAAGAATAGCTTCTAGATCGGATCGACCGCTTTAGCGATCTCTGTACTCAGCTAATAAAGAAAATTTCGGAAAATTTTGCCCTCACGCCAATAAAGAAAAAAATTGGTTTTTGCTTGAAAAATGCACTGTAGTTAGAGTGGATCGTTTTAATTTGGTGTGTGTGTGTGTGTGTGTGTGTGTGTGTGTGAATTTTCAACAAATGTAACAGTGAATTAGTTATGTTCTTCTCCATTATGATTACCTACATAAGTAAAAGAGATTTTTGAATTTTCGTAATTATTTTCAAAGACAATAAATTTAGTTTTATTTTACAAAAATGATTTCTTGTTTTCACTACACTGCCTACTAATACATAATTACAATGATCATCTCTAAGGTCTTCTTTTTTAAGTAAACATCTCTGGGAAGGACAACTTTTTCATTCCAAAGTCTCTTTGTCGGCTGATAAAATTTCTTCTTATTTAGCAAATTTTTAAATTTAATTTTCTTTAAACGGCTAAGTTTTTTTTTTTTGTTTTTTTGATAATTATTAAGTTTAAGTCGGTTTTATTATTAAGTTTAGAATTCTCCAGTTGAAAAATACTCATTGACATTGACGTTTACGAGGTTTTCTTTTTTTTTTTTTTTTTTTTCTATTTTCGCTCTATTTCTATCGTCATGGCTGATTTCATTGACGTAACATTCAATTTTACGAGCATAAAGTATTTCTGAATCGTTTCATCTGCGCTGCAATTACGTACAATTGTGGATTTTTTAAGAGTTGATGACCTAAAGAGAGAGAGGAAGGAGGGGAACGCAATAATAGGCTAATAACATCCGCAGAAATTATTAAGCACATTTTTTATCAAAAGTGTTAGAAGAAGAAAAAAAAAATTATTTTTTAGCGAGGCACGTTCAATGGAAGAGGATTGGCGGCACACGGGGGCGCGACTGGTGCAAACCTCAATCTAAAAGAAAAAAAAGATTATTCTAAATGCCTACATATGAGGGAAGGTGGTAGCATTTTCTACAAATATTGATTTTTTTGCATGATTGACAAGTATTTGAATGAGAAAAATTCGATTTTCAAGCGAAGAAAAACCAATTTTTTTGTTAATAAATAAAAAAATGTACCCTACGCGACTTATTGTACAGAATGCAATCATAATTATGCGCATATGTATTTAACGTTCACAAGGACTTCAGGTAGACGCACCTTTGGCACACACATGAATGGCATACATTCTGCAAGGTTTAGATATTAGACAGCAACTAATAACTAATGGCAAAGATATTTTCACGAAATATTGCACCGATTTTGCTAAAAATAAGTAGTGCTGGTCACACACGCTTAATTTAGTTCACTGTGTTTCTTTGTGCTCTTTTTCCGTTAACAATGTATATTTTTCGTAGTTTATGTTAATTCCACTTTTAGATTCCACAAAGGTACGATTGAGATGATAATCAAAGATTATAGGTTTTTAAGATGGACAATATTTTTATGTTTATATTTTTATTTATATGTGTTCCTTATTTATGTCTTATCATTTGGTTCATCAGTAACATTCATCACCTGGTCGGTTAGCGATGATGGAAACAAGGAAGTGAAGTGACATTAACTAGCCATGCGGCATATATGATATTAATCGCTCTTTTCAAGACTCTTGCGTACGATAAAAATTTTGTTATCTAAACACGAAAAGGATTTGCTGCCATCAACTGTTCAAAGAATATTCAAATTCGGTGATATCTCGCAGCGCATAGGTTTGTTTCCCTTTTTTCTATAAGGTCAGTTTTTGTGTCACACATTTTTTGTATATAGCATAACAACGGCGAATCTGTCAACGTATTCATGTTTAAGTTGGGCTGTTGTACATTACATGTTAGGGGGGACACGTTAGGATGTTTTATTCGTTTGTGTTCTCAATATGAGCCAAATTTCTGATAGAATTTGTTTTATTTTACAACATTGGTTCGACCAAGGCAATAACAGTTCGTAAGCTTATGAAAACATTTGTGGTATTTGTAGGGAGAATGTCTTTCTCATCTCCGTTCTCAGGAGAACATGCTGCGACTACTCATTGTTGAAGTCGATGAAAATATTTGAAAAAATTAAAAAATAATTGCATATTTTATCGTACGATACCGCTGTGGATAAAATCGTTTCGTATCATAATAATGATAAGATAATGTACGATCGTACGATCAAGAGTGCAGTGTAGTAAGTGCACAAGGAATAGGAAGCACTATGCAGGTGGCAGGATAGTTGTTCCAATATTTCCGTTCGTATCGCTACCGTTCACAACTAATGCAATTACAGACCGCAATTTAGGTAAGTCGCCCAGAATTGGTTACCACGAAAGGCATAGCCTTTTATCGTGGCCGAAAAAAAAAAAAAAAATGAATAAATAAATGGGATTGTTCGACTACAAAGTTTTAACGCATTCCGTATAAATTCCGGATCTTGCATTAGTATCACTATCTGCAGAAGTTGGCATTAAAAAAGGAGCCCAAATTGCGCAAGAGAAGTGTATTTCAACAAATGAATTCATTTTGCATATCGCAGTGGGTTGAAAGCACCTAATAAAAAAAAGAAAAAAAAAAAAATTTTGTTTTGAAAAACTTAAAACCGTATTAGCCCTTAAGAAGTTGAACCTGTGGTTTAAAAAAAAGCAAGTAAAAAATAAACCACATCGCTGAGCACTCCCTATATAAAGTTTTTACAAACAGGATATTGTTTACGTTCAATATAAGAAGAACTTTTTACAAAACTCTTTGATGGTAGGAAGTACAAGATTGCACTAGACTAGTTTAGAAATAAAGAAACTCCTTCATTCTTATTGTTGTTGTTATCATTAATAAATGCTAGAAAGTACTTTGTATTTTGCTTGCATATCAAGCTCTTCGTTTTTTATTTCTTTAACAAGTTCACAACACTAACAACAACGACAACAACGACAACAACGG